GCAGCAGCGCAGCTGCGACGATGAAGTTGGAGACACTGACGCTAAGTGCCGCAAGTAGCAAGGCACGCGGTACGAGCGTTACGAGACTGCAGTTGCGCTGAACCAATTGCGCAAACGGACGCGCGGCGGCTTCGCAGAAGGCGCGCAGCACGGACGCGCACGCGGCCTTGTCCTGCAGCTGCGCCAGGCTCTCCTCGGTGATCGCGCGCTTAAGCAGCTGGTGCGCCTCCGCAAACACGAAGCCGAAGTTTCCGTCGCCGACGCGGTCATAGAGCAGCTTTAGTTCGCGCTCCGCCGCCGCGACGCTCGCGAGCGTCCCGGTGCGCAGGATTGGCTCCACCGAGTCCTGTGCGCGCGACTTGCGGTCGGTCGAAGCGTCAGATACGCGCTCTCTGGCGTGCGCAGCGCTCGACTCGAGCTCGTTCGACTCGGTGTCTTCGCTGCTGTTGCGCGAGCCGTCTTCGCTGCCGGATTCAGAACCATCTTCGGCACTGGGAACCGAATCGTGGTCGCTGCCAAAGCTTGTGCAGTTCTCGCTGCATGGGTTGGATTCGTCTTCAACTGCGGAGCCTAAGTCGCCTTCGCTGCCGGAGGCGCGGTTCTCATTGGAGTCCGAGTTGTCTTCGCTGCCGGAGGGCGACGCTTTGATGCTGTTGGGGTGAGGAGCGCTTCCGCTGTCAGAGTCTTCTAGGGAGGTGAAGCTGAAGCTAGACGCGTCGCTGTCATCACAGGAATCTGCTGGGTTGCTCGACGGAGCGGACCGGCGCTGCAAGCGCTCGATGTTCGAGAGCGTATTGATGAGCTGCAGGTCTCCGCCGAACTCTGTTTCGGCTACAGAGTTTAGCAGCTTGCGCCGTTTCCGATCGTCGTCACCGACGGCGAGCTTCCTCTCTAAGTACCCGATAAGCAAGTCGTCCTCATCGGCCACATGCGCCGCGTCGAGCGCCGGTGACTTTGCTGGCAACTCTGCTGGCGGCTCCGCTGACGGTTTCGTCGTCGCACGACTCCGCGAAGTGGAGTGCGCGAGACGCAGCTTCTTTGCGCGGCGCAGCTGTCGCCGCGCCTCGCGTCCGTGACTGGGCGGCCGCGGCATGTCAGTCGACGCTCGCGCAATTTAAAAATATTTTAAGTAATCGCAGCGTTGTCCTCTTGCTCACCTGGTAGTTCTTGTCGCTGCAGTTGAACAGCAGCGTACATGCGAGGCAACCCGCCTCGCTCTCCGCGCCGCAGCAGCATTGATCTAGAGTGTCATGCGCTTCGCGCAGAAAGTCGGCGAAGAGGCGCTCCACCGGTTGCGTCTCGAACACCGAGTCCAGCACGCCATTGCTGAGCTGTGAGCACTGCTCTAGAAAGTACAGCGGCTGATGCAACGAGAGCTGCTGGTCCCAAACGAGATTCGAGCAGTTGACCGTCAAATCAGTGTCGTTGCAGCCGGAGCGTGTGCAGAGAACTTTGAGCAGTACGTGCGCCAGCCCATGCAAGCCTTTGCGCATGAGCAGCAAGTCGTCGTCGCACACTTTCTTCGTAAAGTAGCCGAGCACCGCGACGCTGAATGTGCACTGGAGTCCGTACGCGCTCCAGACGAGTTCTGGGCAGTTGATCGGGACGCGCACCTTCTTGTTGTTCGGCCAATGCTGCCAGATGTACGGCACGCGCAACTGGCCTGCGACGGAACCGAGGCGCAGTGCGGCCACAGGTGTCCGCTCTAGCGTCACCGAGGCTGAGCGCAAGATTTGCGTCAGACGGAATATCGTGCGGTCCGAAGGTTTTGTATAATAGTTGATCTGTTCGCGCGGCGGCTCGACCAAGCAGAAGAGCCGCTTTGGTGCGAAGTGCCTGACAATGTATTTCTTGCCGCCAAAAGAGTAAACGCAACCGGGGTAGCACGTCAGGAACGAGAGTGGCAGATCGATTTCGTCTAGTTTCCGTGCGCGCCGCGTGCTAGCATCGGCCTCGTAGTCAATGCGGTCCGCGCTGGCAGTTTCCTCCGGCGCATCGAGCGGCTGCTGCAGAAAGATTTCGACCTTCGGCATCGAGTTCATGCGGATGTTGATTGCGCTTGCGGGGTTCGTGACTTTCTTATCCGCCTGCTTGTTGAGCACAAAGTCCGCAACGTTCAACGTGTCATGACGCTCGACCTCCACTGGCGCTTCGACGTGCGGTTCTGCGATACTCAGCAAACTCTGCAGGTTCTCGCGCGAGTAGCGTTTTTCGACCACGAGGTCGTTGATGCTCGCATATTTCGGCACCTGCGGCGTCGCGGCAGCCACGGACGTCGCGGGCGGCACAGCTGTCTGAACGCTGAACAACGAATGCAGAGTCGCAGACCGGAAGTGGAAGAACTCGGCACCAAACTTCGCAAGTTCGCGCTTCTGGAAGCCGGGCTCCAGCAGTGCCTCGCCAAGCTCGCCGAAAAGCTCGCGCACTAAATTGCGGCTCACCGGCACCGGCACCTCCGCGAGCGCGCAGTAAAGGTGTTGTTTCGCGACTTGGGCATCGGTCAAACAAAACCCTACCGGTTCCGGCTCCTTCAGCCAGAAGCGGTTGCCAAGCGCCGACGCGATGTAACGCTCCAGGGGACTGTCGAACGTAATAAGAATCCCGAGACACGGCCGATCCGCGCGGCGTCCCGCGCGGCCCATGCGCTGCCGAACCGAGCTGATCGAGCCGTTGAAACCGAGACAGACTACGCAGTCCAAAGTGCCGATATCGATACCGAGTTCCAGCGCGTTCGTGCACACCACACCGAGCACGCTCCTGTTGAACATAGCGCTTTCTAGCCGGCGACGCGTCGACTGCAAGTAGCCCGCGCGGTATGAGATCACGCGATGTGCGAGTTCTGGCTCGCCCGCCAGCTTCTTCTGTGCTTTCTCGTAGATCAACTCTACCAGCGACCGCGCGTTGCAGAACAGAAAGGTTCGTATGCGTGAGCGAACTAGAAACACGAAGACCTCAACAGCCTTGCTGATTGAGCTCTCGCGCACCAGCTGAATGTCCAACTCGCAGTCGCGGTTCGGCTGGTAAATCGTATAGTGCCGCTCACCGCGGGGGCTGCCGTCGCAGTCGACCAGCTCGAATGTACTGATGTTCGTGAGTTTCGTCGCGTGCGCATGCGGGTTGCCCAGCGTCGCGGTAGACACAACGACCTGGATGGAGTAGAACTTTTCGACGTTCTCGGACTGTCCGTTGCGGTATTGCTGCGCGTGCGCGAATCGCGCGGCGAGCAGCAATCGGCGGAAAACATAGGCGACGTGCGAGCCAAATACGCCATTATACACGTGGGCCTCGTCGAGCACTATTAGCCGGATCTTGAACACAAATGCAGAAGAAAGTAGCTGTTTGAGATTCTTGTTGATGTAGTCGAAGTTTGTTAGCAGTATGCGGCAGCTGCTGAGCACTCGCATGCGCTGCTCCGTGGGTGTATCACCGTCCAGCAAGCCAATTGTTTCGGCCTTCACATTGGCATCGCATTTTGGAAAACATGCGCGCAACGCCTTTTCCCATACAAGTTTTTGGTTTTGCGCGAGCGCCTTGGTCGGGTACACGTTCAGGATTGTGCTTCGAGGCTCGCTGTCGAGCAAATGCAAGCCAAATGTAATGTAGATGAACGACTTGCCGCTCGCCGTGCTAGTGTTTACCACAACGTTCTTTTGCTCGAGTAACGCGTCGATGCTTTTGGCCTGGTGTTGGTATAGCCCATCCTCACCAAACATCTCGCGAATCAAGCGCTGCACGGCTGGCGAAAGCAAAGCGAAGTTGCGGAGCGCGCAGGTCACACTTGGGACAGGTGGTTCGACGGCAGTCGTCAGCTTGCTCGTAAAAACATTTTCGGCTTGCAGGCGCGTTAATATCGCTTCCGGGTCGATTTGCGTAGAAAGCACGTTTTCGATCGTGTAGAATCGCTCAATCAAGGTGTGCAAATCCTCTCCGAAATCGAACAGCACGCCAAGGTTTTCGCGCAGGTCTGCCAAGAAGTTTTTTTGGTCTTGCACAGACAACGCAATCCTGCTTTCGTAGGTGAGGTCATCGAGTCGACCGAGATCGCTTTGCGGCGCTTTGTTGTCTGTGCTATAGCTAATAAAACTAGAAATCGAGATCAGCCACTGCACCAGTCGCAGCAGCGGGTTAGGCACGCTACTCTCGGTGGAGCGCTTGATATAGTTCACCAAGTAGTTGCTGTCGCATTGCGACTTAGTGCACTTCGCGCGCCATTGCTCATTCAACGCGACAAGAAAAGCTTTTACCGAGATATGCTTTGATTGTAGCGAAATTGCATTTTCTAGCTCTTCATACGCGACTTCGAACAGTTGGTGTAGCTCACGAGAGCCGGGCATCGCGCCCGCTCGGTGCAAAAACAATTCGAATATCGGTGCGAATTATGTGAAATTAGCGATCGTAGCTCGCCGCAGCTCGTAACGATACGTGGGTTGTTCGTTGTCAGTCGATGTACACACGCCGCGGCGCGATGGCGAGCAGTGGAGTGAGCGACTTACGAAAGTTCAGCTTCTTGTTGTCGATCTTCCGGCGCATCACAAGAATGTCATTCACCACGTTCGACTCGTACTTGCCGAAAAACAAGTGTTTCACTAGTAAATCGCTCTTCTTACATTCCGCGTCCGTATTCTTCTTGCCACTGAGTTTGCCAAAAACGATGTTCGATTTAATCACGCTGCCTTCGCTCTCGAAGTCGTTGCAACTAGTGTAAACCTTGAACAGATTGTTGCTGTCGAGCTGCATGATAACATTGAGCTGCATTGGGTTCAGCCCCTCGACCGGCTTGTTCACCGCGTTCAGCGCCTCGACTAAATTCCAGGTTCCGTAAAATTCGCTGTGGGTCGGCTGTGATCCCAGCTTCCCGCAGGTCATCGCTACAACGAGCCACATGATATTTGAACGCATCGCGACAGAAGCCAGCGTACGGCGCGCACTAATCTTAATTAGGTTTTTCAAAATTGCTACAACACACATCACCGTAACTGAACGCCGACGCGGTGTCCGTGCTACAGGTATGCCGAGCGAAACACGATGGAATTCTGTACCAATTGCTTGAATTTGCAGCCGTCCGCGAGCGCTTCATCTGACACCGCCACATTTTTCTGAAAGTTCAAACCCACTATAAAAATTTCGGTACTTTGCGGCCGGCTGGCTTCGGGCTTAATCAGTGAGACGTGCTCGAAAAAAAGCGAAAGTGCTTCACTGAGAGCTAAGGAGCAGGAACCGTGAAAGAATTTTGAAACAAAACGGCCACCCGGCGCGAGTAGCTTCACTGCGGTGCGCAGTGCAGCAAGCACCAGCTCCAGTTGCAGCTCTTGGTCAATTGCGCGACATCCGGTCATGTCCGGTGCACCGTCGCATGTAACCAGCTTCACGGAACGACCTCCAAGGGCAGAAATGATATCGCTATGCGTCGCAGTGCTGCAAATGTCGCCGGTGACAACGGTCACACCACGCAGTTGTCCAATTTTCTGCAAGTCGACCGCGACAACCATTGCTGAGGGATGATCTGACAGTCGGCGCGCGAGCACTTGACTCCAGCTGCCCGGCGCTGCGCAGAGGTCAACGACAGCAGTGACGTCTTCCAGCAAGTTGAACTTGTCGATTACTTCTGTCAGCTTGTAGGCGCTTCGCGCGCGATAGCCTTCGATTTTAGCTTTTACGGCAAAAAAATCTCGGTAACCTTTGCTGAAGCGGCCCATGAAAATAAGAGCGGAGCTGAGGTTCGCGCACGAAGCTAGAATACAAGTTGCGGAAAACAATAGCGAGATTTTTTAATCTCGGCGCGATAATCCTTATTATCCCTATTTATGGCTGCGTTCGCTTGATCACAGCTAATGGCGCCTTTGAAGTACAAGTTTTTCACGTTGGTTACAACGCGCGAGCTGTATTCTTCGAGGAACCTAAAATTATCGACCTCGTATAAAAGCAGTCCGCCTAAGCTACACGAAAGGCAAAGCAGATCTTTGCGTTGCGCACCTTCGCTTAACTGAAAATGCTTGATGTCCCGAACTGTACCGTAATTCTTAAGTTTGACGGCAAGCAATAACTTGATGTTATTCGGATCCGTGTAATTGTAGACGCACAACGTTTTGCCAAACGCGACTAAGATTTTACCGTCTTTTACGTGCAGCGCGGTTGCGCTTTCGCTCGAGCCTTCAGGCGCTGCAATGATCGCAACAACTGCATCGCTCTCGCCTCTGTTAAGTTTTTCAAACTGCGTGGATAGTGCAGCGCCGTTCGTGGTGATACGCAGCAGCAAGATGTAACGACCGACCGTGGCGACTAGCAACTCGCTGATATCGTCGAAGTGCAGCTTTGTGACTGCGTGTTTCTTTGAGCACAGCTCTTCAGGACTTGAGACGATCAGTAAGGACTGCAGCAGTTCAGAGGTTAAAGAATTGATGTTGCGCGCTATTTCTTCGCTGGTAATCGAATTGGTGTACTTGAGTAACACGAGGTTCAGGTTAAGACTGTCGATGAATGCGGGCGGCGTCACGTCCAGTGTGTAAAAGAGCAAGCGCCCGTGCGAGGTGCCGACGACGCAGATCAATTCTTCGTTGAAGACAATAGGTTGTACGGAGCGCAACACTTCGCTCGCCGTGCATAAGTACTTGATTAGTCTGCCGGACTTTAAGCAGCTCAGTTCAGCGTTCTCAAAGCGGAAATGCCGTATGGAGTTTTCGGAGCCGATTTCGACGAACTCGTTGTGCGCACGCGGCACTACTTTAAAGTCGATAGTGTGCGCATCGATGTGCAAGTCGGCGTTGGTTACAAACTGCATGTCAACCGTGCCTCCCGTGCTGCAGCACTCGTACGCTGTGACCAGCCCGGTGCCATCAAAGACCAACAGTGTCTGCGTACCTTCGATAATGTGGCACGCAAAGATTTTGCGCACGCTCTCGCGCGAAAACAACGATTCGTACACGGGCAACTCCCGCTCTTCCTCGTCGACAGGCGACGTGTGGCAGAGCGCTGCGCTGCGCAGCACAGATTCGAAAATCGCGACGCCGCCTTGGCTGTTGCGGTCAACGAGATTCCACGCCGCGCCCAGTCGTGAGGAGACAGCTGTATCTGAAAAGACGGTGATCAGCCGGTTGGTCTGCGTGCAGCAAGTCGTGCACATCGCGCTCAGGTGCGTTAACACCTTCGAGCTGCAGCGAGGCACGAAGTCGAAGGCGCGGCACTCGCTTTCTGTGAGACCCAGGAAGCTTAAGAAGGGGGCGGAGAGGCTGACATGCGGCAGCTGACAGAGCTTGTCCATGTACGCCTCGAGTGCCATCATGCGGCTGTGCGCGATAGTTGGCGAGTTCGGCGTGATTAATGTCTTCGCGGGTGCCTCAGGAAGTGCAAGTAGTCCGGCAGCGTTCAGCTGCGCGTCGAGCGCAGCGAAGTCGCTAAAGCGTTTCTGATATTCGCCGTCACCGAGTGCTCCGATTATTCGAAAAGAGTACACAAACGACTTGCCCTCCTCGCTCACATCGTACCGCAAAAACTTCACGCTGGACATTTTATTCCAGGAAAAGTTACGTTCAATTCTTTTTCGTAGTATTTTCCAGATCGCGCACTGTCGACGATAACTAATGAGCGGACGCTTGATTATCATTAGCCGATACCTCGGAGATCCACTTTTCGGAGCGGCGTTTGCGCCGCGTGAAGTGGTCTTTCTTGGCGACATGGTTGCCGGCGTAACTGAAGAAGTCGAGACCACTGACAGCGCTAGCTTCCAGAAGTACATGAACGTCAGCCAGCTGATCGTTTCGAAAGACCCGAACGACTTGCAGCAGGGTAAGAAGTGGAATGATTTATTGATGCTGATGATGAACCAGCGTACGCCGAACTGCATCGACCAATGCTTGACGCAGGACGTATTTGAAGACGTTCCGCTGGTTTGCAAGCGCTTTCTGCGCGCTTTGAAAGCGTTTGCACCGAAGCCGTCAGACGAAATCTATATCTTTGGGTTCCATTTACCGCTGCTGCCGAAAATGATGCGCGAGGCGAAGATCGCGAACAAACTATATTTGCACTGCGGGCACGAAGTCCCCGCGGACGAGATCTTGAGAATTCTGCCAGATATTGATATTTACCTTTCTTCGCTGCTTTGCAGCAACGTGATCATGTTCCAGACGCAGATCGACTTAAACGCGTTCAAGTCAATTGTTGCCCTGACGCTCGGCGTTGTATACTCGAACGGCAAGTTTTTGGCGAGCGAGTACAGCAACGGGTACGAAGTGATCTGCTCAGTTAACCCAATCGGCAGCAATCTCGAGGCAATTTTGTCTCTGGACATTGACTATTTCTGCAGCATCTTTTGCGTTGAGGTCGCCGAACGCGCGGCGTTCGCAAGCAAGCTGAGCAGCGCGCTGCAGGCCAGTCGCGCAGACTTCCACCGCGTGGGAGACTCTGAGCCGTTCCGCATCGTCAGCCTCGACACAACTCTCGACGAACCACAGTCGTTGCTGCAGCGCGTACGCGTGCTGCAGCACCTGTACGAGCTTGGCTACAAAAACATCGAGTACATCGGCATCTACAGCAAAGGCGCAACTTATGGCTCGCCATTTCCGATGAGCAACATCATTAGTGACGAAGAGCGCTTCGAAAGGTTCAAAGTACCGCTGTCGCTGATTGCAAACCTGAACGCGCTGCATGGCTCGGCGACGTTTATTCCGATCAAAATTTTTTGGGCTGTGACGCCGGACGTCTGGTCATACTTGCTCAGCGCGGATCTGTACTGGGACGCGCAGGGGCACGGCATGTTCTCGCTGCCGCTGATCTACACGATGCTGCTGAACAGTCACTGCCGCTACTGCATCAACTGGCAGAGTCACACGGGATTGAAGGCCAAAGAATGTGGAGTACTCGAGTCAGAGATGTTCGATGTATTCAGCATCAATGACACCGTTTCTACCGCGACGCGCATCCAGGAATTCATTGAGAACGTGCCGCAGCTTACGCAAGAATCCTTCCAGAAGGACGTCTATTTGCAAAAGCTAATCCGCAACGTTAACCTCGCAAACCACGTCGAGCTGGTGAACAAGTACAACCGGATCGTGCAGCCGTACATTCGCAACCAGCAAAAGGTGCCAAAACTTGTAGATCCCGCGACGCTTTACAACTATGTTCGCGACAAAATCATTTTTAAAAACAAGTACCTGATCATTGTGACCTCCGTCTCGGACACGCTGATCAACGTGAACAGCGAGGTGAAACACATTCCCGACACAAACATTTCGGACGAAACCAGCCTCTACGAAGAGGGGCGTAAGCAAATGCTCAACGAAAAGATCAAGCATCAGCGCATCGTGAAGACGTGCACGAAGAATCTCGACGTGAGCACCGCCTCGTTCAAAGCTTGGGACTACGTAAACAAGGACATCGTCGCATTTTATCCCGTGACGCATATCCCGTTGCCAAACGTGGTGGTTGCGTTCAACAAGCTAAAAGGCATCAACCAGATGAGCCTGAGCGCTTCGCCGCAGTCGATCGCGCCAATAACGCAGGAGAAAGCGAGTTTCTATATGAGCGCTTCGAGCGAGAGCAGCGGCGCGGACGACGCAAAGAACGACGCCTCCTGTTTCGAGCTGAGCCCGCCGTACTATGCCGCTGACGCAGCAAGCGATGCCACGCGAACCGGCGCACTCGCGCCTCCGTGTTCAGCCTGCGCGGCAAGCGCGGGAGCCTCCGCGTCGGATTACGTGCATGAGGAGCCGCTGTTCAAGCCGATGTGCATCGCGAACTGCAGCCCGAACGAGTGCACCTGCACGGATATGTGCGAGTGGGTCGACATGATTCTCTGCGACAAGTCAAGCGGCGAGTCGCGCTGGTACGACACGCGCAACGTGGTGATCATCATTGAGAACGGGCACGCTGTGAAGAACAAAGGTTCCACTTATTTCCAGAATCAACAGTACATCGATAACTCGATTTTGGAGCCAATCAAAGACTTGATGGAGTATTACAAAGAACGCACCGCCTCGAGCTTCATCGTCGAGAACTACACGAACATCAGCTTCTACGTCGATAAGTACAACGAGAACAGCCTGATCAGTCTAAACCAGCTGATCGGGCATTTGGAATCTGGCGGACTGCTAAAGGACGATTGCCTCTCGATATCGCGCACGGTGTATTCGGTGACTGTGTACGTCAACCGTGAGCTGCTCAAGCAGTCCATTGAAAACAGCATAGAGAGCCTGGCGCGCGACCGCGGCGTGCTGCTGAACAGCACTGCCGTAATCGTACTCGGGCAGTTGCCGCTGAACTTGTTCAACAACCTTGACCTCGAAGAGCGTCCGACGCTCTACAGCATCGCGGTTTCTGCTTCGATTGCTGCGCACAACGTGCGCGTCAAGAGCATGGCGAACGCGAAGCAGTTTTTGTTTCACTTGCTGAACTTCTACTCTCGCTACAAATTGCCAAGGAACCGCCAAATGGGCCCGCTCTTTGAGCCGAAGGCGGCCATGAACAAGAAGCTGCTGATCACTGAAGAAAACGAAAACTCGGAGTCGAACGAAGGCGACTTCGCGTGCATCGAGGTCGCTGCGGACAAGATCGTCAACCAGATCTTGCGTAAAGCCTCTGCGCGCAGCACAGACGTGTCGCTCAGCAGTCGCAGCACGCAAAACGCTAGTTAGCTCAGTAGTAGCGGCAGCAGTTTTTGCGCATCTGCTTGGACTTTTTGAACATCTGTTTGCTCAGCTGCGACAGGTCGTTGCTCTCGTCGATCAACGTTTCGAAATTCGCGATGTTGTCGAGCATCTCTTCGAGCTGCTTCTCGACGAGCTGTTGGTTGCGCGCGACTTTGGCGCTGGTCGTGCAGATGGCGTCGAACTGTGCAGGATCGCGGTACTGCTCGAGCAGCTGCTTAAGCTGCGGCTTAAACGAGTCGAGGTCGCCGTCCTTGCGGAAGGACTGCACCAGCGAAAGGGGAAACTGCGCGAGCAGTTCAGCGTGCACTTTCGCGCAGCAGGCGAGCGCGACGCGCGCGCGGTAGTCCAGCGTCGCGAGCGCGGCGACGCCGAGCCCGTCGCGCCAGCGGACGGCACACATCTGGAAGTTTTCGTGGGTGATCGTCTGCCGCGCGCCGACCTCGAGCAGCGGCATCAGTTGCCGCGTCATGAACTTCGAGACCTGCAACACAAAGCTGCGCTTGTGGAGCCCGAAACTGCGTGCGGAGTGGCGCAGCTTACCTGCTGAGCTGATGCTTCGTCGCCAGCAGCACGACTTTGCCGTCTGGCAGCAGCGAACAGACAAGGAGGCTCAGCAAGTCCATAGAGACTGTGCTGGCCGAATAAATGAATTGAAAGATATGGGCCAATAAATAATGGAAGCTGGCTGCATGCGCGCACCAGCGGTACGTGATTTTTTTGTTAGAAAGGCAGCAACCGTGATGGCCCAAGCGTCGATCCCTTACCTCGCCACCCTGCCGGGTTACCCGCGCGAGTACTTCGAGAAGCACTTGAAAATTGCCCAGCCCGACCCCGCGGAACGCACGGGCGAGCCAGGCTATGACTGTAAGTGCGCGCGCCGCTACAGCAGACACGCAAGTCGAGCCAATCACTCAGCAAGAAACCGGCAACAACTTTACGCCGATCGATCCGGTGAACATGTACGCGAGCTGCTTCAGCTGGATCAGCTACCCGTACGGCATCCCGGACGACGCGCAGCCGTGCCCGTACGCAAAAGAGACTGCGCCGACGTTCTTCCGCTCGCTGTCCCCGATGAAGACCTCCAGCATGAGCAGCGCGAGCCTCGAGTCGGACCCCGCCGACTTGATCCCCCACGCCGCGTCGGAACTCACCGCACAGCGATCGGCTCTCGTTCAAGAAGAGGAGCTCGCGTACGAAGAGAAGCTGAACGCCGTTGAGCAAGAGGTTGTGCAGCACGACCTCGATGTCGCACCGCTGGCTCACGAAGAGCAAGAGAAAGAATTTATGAGCTACCGCGGCTAGCCGCGCCCGGCGCCGACTTTCTAATTCTTAAATTAGATTTTTCGTTTTGCGTCGTCCTGGCGGAGACTTCTAGATGCAGCAGTCGCGCCGAGGAGTTTATCAGCGGGGCGCACGCGCGCGGCACTTCAACGCAGAGCACGAGCTTTTTGCGAACGTCGTGCGCTTCAGCGACGGACCGCACAAACTGGTCAACGCGTTTAACACGCTCGCCTCGCAGATCGAGATCCACCTGGCCGACGAAATCGAGAACTTCAGCGCGGACGCGGCGACCGTGAGCTTCGCGAACGAGATCCCCGAGATCTGTGCGGCGGGCGTGCGCGCGCTGGCCTTCGCTCCGAAGAGCGACGCGTTGCTCGACCACTTCGCGCAGGCCGTGCTGCAGCAGCCGCACAAGCACTCGATGTACGCCGCGCTGCTTGTGTACCTCGTCTCTTTCTACCAGCGGAACGAGCCGTTCGCGCAGGTGTTCCGCGCGGGCTTGACCGGGCTGCAGTCAACGGACGGCGTGAAGCTGGTGAAGGGCGAGTTGCGCGACGACGAGCGCGCGCCGAGCGCGAACGAGCGCAGCGTCGTCTTCTTCACTTTCTTTCTGCTGAAGCTCTGCGCAAAGCTTATCGCCGCGGTGCGAGCGCTGTTTGCGCAGCCGAGCGGCCAAAGCAAGCTGCCGCAAGCGCGCGCAGCGTTCCGGTTCTTCGCTGACATGCTGAATCTGGGCATTCTGGAGCCGCAGGCGTATCTCGACGAGCTACTCGCGCTGTTCGCGCAGCCAGGCGTGCCGCAGCCGGCGATGCTCGCCGCCGCGGCGTCGCTCTGCCACGTCAGCCACACCGTTTGCCAGACGCACGCGTCGCGCGTCGGCGCAGTCGTCGACGCGCTGCTGCAGCACGAGTTCTGCGCGTCGTTGTGCGGCGAGGCACAGGCTGTCGGCGAGGCGCTCGCAGAGTTCCGCAGCAAGAACTTCATCCTGCTCGACTTCTTCCGCATTTACGAGCGGCGCAGTCTGGCGGCGCTGCTCGGTAAGACCCCGGTGAATATGCGCTTCGCGCTCGAGCTCGCCGGCGCAGAAGTGCACCCGCAGTTCGACGAGTACGCGTATGAGTTCGCCGCACCGGCTCTCGGTGCCGAAGGCAGGCTCGGACACCCGCCCTCGCGCGTCGTGCTGCGCGACTTCGTCGCCACGGCAGGCTTTGCCGTGCTGCCCGTGGCATTCGTGGAAGCTTCGCTGAACGTCGCATTGCTGCACAACTGCGAGACGTTCCTGTTCAAGCGCTACGTTGCGGACGTGCTGACAAACTTCGGCGCGGACTACGAGCTTTGCGCAGAGCAACTCAACTTGATCCCAATCTTGCACGACAGCTATTCTTTCGTCGTGCTCGACTATCTGTTCGAGCTGTTCTTCTGCCGCGCCGCCCCGCCCGTCTCCGCGACTCGCGGCACGTTCGAGCTGGCCGCCGCGTTAGCCGCCCAGCTGTTCAAGTCGTTGATCATCCTCGACAATAAAGTCAAGTCCATGCTGTGCCAAGCGGTGCTCGTGCAGCTCGCGCGCCTGGAGCAGCTGAGCTACGCACAATTGAACTGTTTCTGCCGCTTCCTTGCGTTGCTGCTGGCGCAAGACAACGCGGAGTGCGAACTCAGCTGCGCGACGCTCACCCAGTTCGCCGCGCAGCACGAGGAGCGCTGCGCGCTCGTTTTGCAGAGCTGCTGCGACGCCTTCGCAGACCTCGCGGGCTTCGACGAGCCCGCGTTTCTGCCGGCGCACTTTCTCGCGCAGCTCTGCGGGCAGCTCGCGCACTTGCTGCCGACCAGCTCCGTCGAGGCGCTGCCCGCGCCGCTGCGCGCGCTGTGCTCCGTGTGGCTCGAGCAGGAAATGACGGGCGCGCCGGAGACGCAGCGGACTGACATGGTCGAGGAGCCGGCCGGCGCCGCGCTCGCGCAACTCGTGCGCGAGCGTCAGCTCGAGAGCCACTCTCCGCTGCCTGCAGAGCTTACGGCGTTACTCTCGCTGCTGAGCTACCGCGTGCAGTCGAGCGCGGAGCAGGTCGCGCGGCTCGAGCTTGCCGTCGCACTGCTGCAGCACTGCGTCGGGAAGTCGCCCGCTACGCGCTGCGCGGAAATCCCCGTCGAGTTTGAGCATGGCGAGGAAGAGGTGCTCGCGGCCAAGCGGCAGCTACCTGCGGACGCGGCGCAGCAGGACAAGCGCGCGAAGCTGCAGGTCAAGACGGACCCGTCGGAGCTGGAGGAGATTGCTCTGGGCCCCGCGGAGCAGGAGCCGCGCGCGCTGCCGCCGCTGCTCGCGCTCGACCAGCTCTCGCCGCGCGCCGCCGTCGTGGAGCGCGCTCTGGAGTGCGCGCACGCGGCGGACGGCGCGCCCGCGTGGACGGTCGGAGACGTCAGCTACATGTTGGCATTTGCGCTCGTGCGCCGCGGGCAGCCCACGGTCTCGCACTTTCTGCGCATCATGGAGCTGCACGTAGCGTTGCTGAGCTACTGGACGACGCTTGGCGAAGAGCACTTCCTCTCGTTCTCGCACAGCGTGCTGGCGGTCGTGCGGCGACTGCTGCGGACGCAGCCCACGCGAGCCGAGTTCTTCATCTTGCACTTGTACGGCCGCGGCTTGCTGCACTTGGCTGCGCTGCGCGAATTTTTGTCGCAGCACTGCCGCAGCTTCTTCTTCCTGGCCGCGTGCCCGACGCTGGTCTCGGTGTTGGCGCGCACGGCGTTCGGCGCGGCGGCGCGCTTCGTGCACGAAGAAAACGTGGTCGCGAGCGTGGAACTCGCGCGCAACCGAGTCGAACGCGGCGCGCCACGTCGCGACGCGCAGGTGCAGACGCCGGCGCCGCAGTACTTGATGCACGCCACGGCGCCGCCGACGCTGGAGCCCGCCGCGCTCGCAGAACTCCTGCGCGCACTCGCAGCGCGCGACAACACGCACCTGCGGGCCGCGCGCGCCGCCTTTTTCGACACGCTCGTCCAGCAGCGAACGCCCGAGCCGGCGCAAAATTAATGTATGAATTCACGACGAGTCGCTGCTGGAAGTTACGCAGACTCCGACTCGGTGCTCGAGTACTCGCTGCCGCTGCGCGCGTCTTTGTCCTGCGGCTGGGTTGTCTGCTCAAACTTCTCGGCGCGCGACTCACGGAAGCGCGTCTTGACCGGTTCCCACGCAGTGGCGAGCTTTTGCTGCCACTCGGCGAAAGGCGCGAGCTCGCGCGAGTCGTTGAACTCGGCGAACTCTTCGGCCTCAAGTGCTAGCTGCGCAATCTGCTCGCGCGTCGCTGGCGTGATAAAGTTTGCGTACTCGCCGGGGTTGTCGAGCAGGTTGCGCAGGCGGAAGGACTCGGACAAGATCTCGTTCTTGGCGCACTGGATTTTCTCAGTCAGCGCGTCGCGCTCGGCGAGCGCGGCGCAGCGTTTGCGGATGTCTGCAATCTGCTGCGCGGTCAGGTAGTTGCCGTAGTACATGCTTTCCACGCTGAGATTCGTCTGTCGGTTCGTGGTCTTCTGGCGCGTGCTGGAGACCTCCTCGAACTCGCCTTCGATTTCATTGCCTTCTTCGTCTTTCTTCGGGACCTTCTCTGTGAACTGCTCAGGGACCGTGACTTGCTGCGAGAACGTAGCGCGCACGGCGAAGCGCAAATCTTTCTGCAGCTCCAGCTTTACGGTGAACTTGCAGCTCGCGGTGTCCTCTTCGTACGCCTTCACCAGCGAGTCGGGGATCTGCACCGTGAAGCGCGCCACCGGGAAGTTGCAGAAGACGCTGAAGACGAACTGCTTTTGTTGCGCCGCGAGCGGGAAGTAGAGCGTTTTCTCAAACCGGCAGCCGAGCTTCTGGTGCTCCTCGAGCAGCTGGACCATTTGCGTGCCGTTGTCCGACTGCAGCACCTTCAGCGGTTTGCAGAGCACGTCGTACACGTCGCCGGGCAGCGGCTGCTCGAAAATCAGACCGAGCGGCTTCTGCAGCACGATGTGTCGGTCGTAGCGCGCGACGCGGAAGCGCGAGTCGTGAATCGCGGCCTCGATCGCGGCGCCCAGCGCGACGCACTCGTCCCAGCTGATTTTGCGGCTCACGGGCAAGCCGAAGACCTGCTCGATTGCGGCGACCACGAACGGGATGCGCGTGCCGCCGCCAGCGATCTGCACCGAGGAGATCGGCACCTTCGACTCCGGCAGCGCGGCCAGCGCTTCCTCGAGCATCGTGCGGAGGCTCTGCGCGTAAGGCGCGCACAGCGCTTCGAACTGCTCGCGCGTGAAGAGCGCTTCGAAGTCGAAGTCCTCGAACAAGCACTCGAGCGTCACGTTCGCCGTCTTGTTCGCACTCAAAACCTTTTTGGCTTTCTCCGCAGCCTCTGCGACCTTCAGCCGCACCCGCAAGTTGCCGGCGACGGCGCAACCGTGCTGTTTCTCAAACGCAGCAATGATGTGGTCGACAAACAGCTTATCCACGCAGCGCGAGCCGAGTTCGACGCTCTCGCGCGCGATCACGATGTCGTACGAGTTCTTGCGGTAGTCGACGACCGAGACGCTCGCCTGCCCGTAGCCCACATCGACGATGGCGACGCGATCCGCCTCCTTGTCCGCGAGCGAGTTGCGCCGGAACAGCCCGAAGTTCAGCGCCGTGGCGTACACGTGCGGGATCGTCGAGAGGCACTCGAGCCCCGCAAGCCTGCAGGCGACGCGAATCATGTCGTTATTGCAGTCCGTGAACAGCAGCGGCGTCGCGACCACGCACTTCGTGACCTCCGTGTCTAAAAACGCAGAGCTCATCGCTTTGAGCTTCTCGAGGTACGGCACGAGCACCTCGACTGACATCACCGGCTGCGCCTCGCCCACGTCATAGCTCAGAAAGTCCGACTCCTTTTGCTTCGCAAAAGGCGCCAGCAAAAAGGGTTCCTCTGTAGCGACGACCGAGCTGTTCGCGTTCGTGCAACCCAACACGTGCACAAAGTTCCGCACCGTGCGCAGCGCATGACTCTTCATGCAACTCAACACGGCGTCGCCAGTCAGCCGCTGGTCCGCCAAGTAGGCTACAAGAGATCTGCGTAGCGGCGCACGCAACTTACGGGGTGGCTCTGTCGGCCAAGTCATTGCGCACAATTTGCAGCCCCTTCTTGCTGACGCTGCCAACCTTGGTATACAGACACCCTAGATCAATACCGATTACAGCCATCGCTTTCAATCTTCTTTCAATATTACGAATAAAATCAATTTCGATGCTTTTTTTGGAAGCGCCGGTCTCGGAGGCGGATCTGAAACTCGCACAGCGCGACTCCATCGTGCACGGCGCGCAGCGCTTTCTGCAGAGCGCGCTATTGGCCGCGGCGCTGCACTTCGCTTTCAAAGCCGTCTTCCGGCCGCACAAGTAGCGAGCGGCCCAGCAGTGTGCCAAGCGTCGCCGCGCAACGTCATCGCTCCTCGCTGCGCGCAAAGCCTGCACTGCGCACGGCGAGCACACAGCTTCGCTCGTTTTTCAAACGCTGCCCTCTGGGTCTTATACAGCAACCGGCGCGGCTGCCGTTCGAGCGTCCAGCGGAGCGCGAACCGCAAAACCCTGCCGACGCCCTTAACTGTAACTGTCAACGTTCCAGCTAACGTGTTTCCGAGAGTCTCTTAAGCGATCAGTTTCGCAACGCGAGCGCGTCTGCAGCGTGGCAAGCGTTTGCGGCGCCGCCAGCAGCCGCATACTTGGCTGGGCTCTTGGCTGGGCTCCACGCGCGTCGTCCACTGTTCCGAGCCATGCGCAGCCGCCCGCCGTCCACTGCAGCACTGCAGCAGTGTTGCGCGCACGCTCATTTCAGCAGATGTCGGTGCGCATTCTCGAAATCTTTGTAGTAGTCAATCAAGCTGCGCGGCGTTCGCGGCCGAGACTTTGCAAAAATGTCCAGCAGAGCCGCGCTATCGCAGTGCGGCGCAGCTGCGGACTCCGCGCGCTCGGTTTCGTGCTCCGCGCTGCGCTGGATCTCTTCGCGCAAGTAGCCCATCCGCAGCGTGTCGATGTGCAGAATGATTTCCGCACAGCTGAATCCTTCGGACGCATCGAGCAAAGCCGCTTCCGCCTTCACGGAATGCAGCTGGAACAGTGCCGCACGCTCGGCGCGGTCGGGCAGGCCGACGTAAATGAGCGCGTCGAACCTGCCCGGCCGCAGTAGTGCCGCGTCCAAGTCGCTCGGCCGATTCGTCGCAGCCATGACAACCACGCTCTCCGAAGAGTCAATGCCGTCCATTTCGCTGAGCAACTGGCTCAGCACCCGCAGCTCAACGCCGGAAGAGCACTTCGCGCTATTGCTCCCGCGCGAGCCACCTATCGCGTCAATCTCGTCGAAGAAGATGATGCTCGGCGCAAAAGTGCGCGCTTTGGCGAACAAAGAGCGGATCTTGCGTTCCGACTCGCCGACCCACATAGAGAACACCTCCGAGCTGTTCACGCCCAGAAAGTTCATATAGCTCTCGCCGGCTACCGCCTTCGCCATCGAGGTCTTGCTGTTGCCCGGCGGCCCGTAGAGCAGAATTCCGCGGCGGCAGTTCAGCTTGTATTTCGCGAACAGCGCTTTGTACTTCAGCGGCCACTCGACTGCCTGCTGGATCTGCAACTTGGTCTCCGCGTAGCCGGCGATGTCGCTCCATCGTTTCTTCGGAATCTCGACGATCGTGCTGCGCAAGCCTGACGGGCTTTGTTTGGCCGCGATCTCAATGACTTCGTCCACTGTCGGCTCGCGCCCAAGGTCGAGCTGCGCCTCCCACACTTTGCGAATTAGCAGCTGGAAATCTGCTGGCACAAAACCGGAACACACGGCCACGATCTTGCGCAGACTCGCATCCGAGTCTGACCAAAAAAAACGCAGCTTGTTCGCCGCCAACATACAGCGGAAGACGGCAAACCGCGTTTCGAGGTTTGGCACCTCGAGTTCCAGTTCGGTGTCGAACCGGCCGGGCCGCCGCATCGCGTCGTCTATCGCGTCGACACGATTCGTAGTCGCAAGCAGAAGTACGGACGCGTGCGCCATAGGTCCGTCGAGAACGCTGAGAAAGGAGTTGATCGTCTCGAGCTGCGCAACCGACGCTGCGTCACGTCGCGGGCAGACCGCGTCTACTTCGTCTACGACCAGCAAAGTCATCTGGGGGTTCTGCGCAAACTCCGCGTTGAGCTGCGCGAACAGCGCCGTTACGCTTTCCGCGGTACTCAGCTCGCTGACGGCGACTTCGCGCACTTTATAGTCGAACGCATCTGGCTCAGCACAGGCGCTGCGCCGCTGCGCCAGCTCGCCTTTCAAGCACTTGCAGAAGTACGACTTTCCGACTCCAGGCTGACCGTGCAACAGCACCCCTTTGGCCAGTCGTATGCCTTTGTAACTGCCGTCCGGCGCGACGAATTGCGACCCGTGCAACAATGGATATATAATTGTCCTTTCGAAAGTCTTCTTGAGCAGGTCGTTGCCGCCAAACTGCGAGAAGGTCGGGGCGGCCGCCGCAACACTTGCTCGCGCAATGTTGTGCTTCTGGTCGAAAACGAGTTCAAACTTAGTGTCCGCGCTTACGTAAGCCAAATACTGCGCAACACTAACGCCGCGCTTCAACTCAAACGAACTGACAGTAAATCGCTTGTGCACTGCGCCAATCTGGAACTCGTCGGCGTAGCCTTCGTACACTACAGAGCCATACAGCACCTGTCTCAGGTTCGACAGCGCCACAGCGGGATCTTCCGCAGCTTCGCGCAGCTCGACGCGTACGCTGGCAACCACAGGCAAACTTTTCAGCTCTAGAACCTCGATCTTCCGAACGAAAAGACTTGGGTCAAAGCCCAGCTCTGAATGCAAAAAGCGCGAAAGTGCTACAGCATACTTGCACTGAGACTTGACGCAGCCGCAGTCGCACAGCCGCGCGTATCCTGTGATGCGTCGAATGCAGCCCGCGCCGTCCTCTAGCTCAAGACTCAGACATGCGTTGTTGCTGAGGCGGGCCGCGCTCCAAGCACAGCTTACAAACACAGTCCGGAGCGGAGCGCCAGGTACCGGTCTATGCTGAGTAACGCGAGCCCCGGAGTTTGCATCGGCGGAAGACATCAGTTCCTTGCTTCTAGCAGCACTGACATCGCTTTTCCGCTCACCATAACCATCGATCTCTTGCTGAGAGAACACGTCGCACTTTTTAAAGTCAGAACGAGACTCGGCCAAGTGCTTCTGACGGCCCTTGGTTTGCTTAAACAGCGACATTGCACAAACTCAGGACAAGTCAACTGCTTTACATTTCAGACGTTAACGCACGTGTTTGAGCTCAGACATTTTCGTTCTATCGAAATAACAGAAAGTGATATTCGTATATTTCAGTTGAGGCTTTATGGCAAGCGTAAAGTTGCCTTTACGATTGTTGAATTCACATCAGCCGTTGCACCCAGATTCACTAAATACCTAAAATTTCTTCAGGCCGTCGCATTGTCCGAGCCTCGTTGACCTGTCTCGCTTGCGTCAGAGTGTTGTCAGCCATCACCTAGACTGACAAATGTAAGGTTGCGTTTAGCCTACACACGTATCTATCGCCTACTAGAATCCTTTCGATACTGCAACACATAGATACCAGAAGTACTAAGCATAGTACCGAACGCCTGGTTTACAATTCACCTGTGTATCTAAATGTCTTATATTTAGTATCATTTCAATCTATCTAGCTATGCACTAATACCGTTGTATCTGAGCACACAGGTTATGACTTGCTAAATCGCTTCTATAGTCACCTGTCATTGAGATAAGCAGGTTTTTTATTTGCATTGTTATGGTGAGACATGAGATGCAGTGTATCGGCGTTACATCAGCCATTGCGACAGATTTATGTGACTAGAAAACGGTCCATCACAGTTAGGACTCCGACGTACATACGCTGCAAACTCTCGTTTCGAAAAGTCCACCTCAGCACTGCAGTTTGCGCGTCAGCACATGCGTCATGAAACGCTTTTTTTCTAGTCTGAATCTCGCTTCTAAGCGATTTGTTCAGTAGGCGAATGTGCTGCGAAATACCTGACCTCAGAATTACGATGTTAATGGAAAGAACGTCAAATTCCGATAGCTTGAACTCGTAGCTGTCGTCTACCAGCAACTGTTTCAGCGCTTCTTGGTCTTCGCGCGTCACAACATTGTTTTGACATTTTTCCATGTCGAAAAGCGCAGAAACGAAACGTATTACAGCCCAACTGTACAGATCAACGGGCTGGATTAACAGGTTTCTAATAAAAAAGGCGAATGCTTTGTCGACGTTCAACCAGACGCGTTGTATCAGAGGTAATGTTCCAAATAGTCGACATCGAAGATCAGAATTCCGCAGTCGCGTTTCGTGCTTTTCTAGGACAGGTTTCACGAAAGCCGACTTTTCGTAAATGAAGTGAAAGCCTCTCGTTTGTAGCATGATCAAAGTCCTCACAAGAGAAATAGGACCGCTTCTGAGACCTTTCAATGTTTTGCGTATGGTTACTACGATATCTCTGATTACAACAGCAGTGCAGAATATAACAGAGTAGATCAAGAAAAAACCTTTTCTGGCAGCCTTTATGTCAAGCAAGCTCTGCGGATAACCGCTGAGTTTGCTGCTAACGCTAGTTCCGATGCGACTTCTAGCAGTCCATCTAAGAAACATATTGTTTCTACTCCGTTGAAATCTGAGATAGAGTGTTTCGAATCCGTTACAGCAAAGCGCAAAGCAATACAATAAGCAGCATAACGTTCCGATGCACAACACGCCAGCGAGCGGAACAATGTTTCTCGTGATGAAATTTCTGTTCTCAGCCTTTAATCGCACCTGGTGATGCCCGTATAATTCAGCATTGTTTTTTCCCGAACTATTGTCAAGAAGCGACATCGCTGCTGCCAACGGCTCCGCGAAACTGTTAGGCAACATACTGATACAGGCTAGAAGTAATTTGCGCGTCGCGCTGTTTTCGTAGCGATCCTTGACTATTGACGGTTGGTGGTTGAGGTCGGAAGAGCTGTCACTATTCATTGTGCACGATGGTACGTCCAGCAAAAAGTTCTCACCGAAATTCTCCACGCTTTTGCTTTCAGGAAACCAAAGGCATTCACGCTCAGTCTCAGAAAGCATATAGTCGTCCGATGAAAACGGCAGAATAGAGTCAGTACTGCTGTGGCACGAATTAGCATTAGCAATTTCCTCAAACGTAGAAGATTCATGAGATCTGAGCGCCTTTTCAAGGCAACACGAAACGCCAGACTCTCTAAACGTCGGTGCCTTGCATGGCATAGATTCAGAAGTTCCAGTACTTGGATCTGTGTGTAGTTCATCTAGTTTGGTGTAATCGTTGAACTTGCGGTCAGAGGAAGCTTCGTTGAAAACCATAGTATTCGGGTTCAGTCTGCAATTTTCGCGACACTCGCAATCGCATGACGCGTAGCATCTCATTTTTTCGATAAACTGTCGGTTAGGTTTTTCTAACGGTTCATACAAGCTAAAATGAGCACGTTTCTGAGAAGGTCTCAACGAGCATTTTCCCCGCTTGTTAGAACCGAATAAATCAACCGAATTCAGCGACTCCAAGGGCAGCGTGATTTGTCTGTTGGAGGTAACGTCACGAAGCTCGAACGAGTCTATGTGGTCAACTTTCCTACGACTCTGATGGCGATTATCAGTGATGGGGCGTTTCATGTACGCGACGCGGATTTGAGAAGGATGAATATCGTATATGGCTTTTCTTCCGATCAGCGCCTTATGCTTAATGTTCCTCTGCGGCATTAACGTGAACTTTACAGCGAGATCTCTAATTTCTGGTCTTATCGCATCGAGTATCGGCATGTAGTTCACATCTAAACCGCGCGCATCACGCTTCCAAACTGTAGAAATGCGCTTCCGCCTACGCGGCTTTCTGCTTTTAACGTGCAGCTTCTCAATAGAACCACGCGATTCAGCAACTGTCTTGGCGTTACAAGGTTCATCATTGAGCTTCAGGTAAGTTGGAGAAAACATTTTCTGTACATAATGCTTGTTATCTTTGCTAGTATACTTGAGACTTTGGCTTTCTTGTTCGTGAGACTGCACATTGTTGTTGGCATGATTGTCATTTTGCGTTAAGCTGCAAAGTTTAGTTTTTCGCATCATAACGCCGCTATGATTGAATTGGTGAGATGCGGCGAAGCGAGGCGGACAGTGGCTGTAGCCAACCTCAGCGGCAGAATATATACCTGCGCGATAGCGTGTTGCGCGTTTTAAGCTACGCCTCTTCATACTAAAGAAGTTCCAGTCCTTCTTGTTATATGGAAGCGCTGCGTCAGCTTTGTTGGTTGTTAGCTGCTGAAATTCAGACTCGCCACCGATGCCACTGCAGGTTGAAGTCTCGCGCAGCGCATCGATCTTACCACTGGCATACCTGCGCTGCGACTTCGCTTCATCTGCTTCAAAGCACGAACGATAGTTGAAGCATGCAGTGGTTACAAGCTCAGTACCCAGCGACATATCTTTTTGCTTGTTCTTCTTTCAGAAGTCGCTTGATCAAATTTAGAACCAATTTGTAAAAACGTGTGGATGGCGACGATGCGCGCCAACTGCACAGTGCGCGCTCGCAAATAACGCGCGCGCTTTGCGTGCGCTTGCAATATAAAGCTGCTCGGTCAGCTCGTTCTTCCAAAGCGAGTTCATTAAATCTGAATATGTGATCACATTCCACTGATTTTATAAATTTAATTAGCAGATTCCTTAGATGGGGCTGGGAGATGCATTCACTAAGGATTCGGGTGGAGGCGCTCTCGAATACGACGACAAAGCGTTTTACTACTTAGCCTTCACTGCCTTTGTTGCACTTGTTCTGTTTGTTACGTGCAAAACTTGTTCGATTTACTCAAGCAAAGTCAAGCTGAAATCAGGATGTAACTGCAGTCAGTGCCGCCGAAAAGACCTGGTTTTGCAGCGTGAGTCCAGCCAATGTCGCTCTAAAAAGCTTGCGCTTTATGGTTCGCTGGCCATTGTCCTTTGGTCTGCTCTCGTTTACATCGCGCGGACTCAACTGCCGGACATTTCCAATACTGTGGGCTTCGATCCGTACGAGATTCTTGGAGTGTCGCCTGAGTCCACGCTAGCGGAGATCAAGAAGAAATTTCGTACGCTCAGCTTGAAGCATCATCCC